AAGTTACTAATGTCGAATTTTAGGATTAATTAATGTAACTGAAAGTCATATTTCGGTCAAAGCTGTCAGTTGTCTGTGAACTAAATCTGCTGTAAAGGGTGATCTGTTTAAGCCCACTGAAATGCTTGAATGCAGACACACATTAACATCAGAGTCTCAATATTTTAGGTTAAAAAAAACATTGAAGTAACACAGATTAAATAAAATAACTCATGCACATTCATTTCCCCGCTGCTGTAACGTTAGCAGTTTTACTAAAATGCTATGCATTTAGCCCTATGTGACGTCTGTTTTTATATTGTTTGTCAGCACACATAGCCTAAGTTACTATGTATCTGGATCAATTAGCCGAGTAGACAAATATAAATGTTTATTCATAACCATGCTGAAAATAAGTCAATGTTAGCTGATGCTAACTGTCTAGCTAACGAGCTTGCTGGTGCTAAATCGAGGCAATTTTTTAAAAATAAAGTCCAAATATTTTTATTCAACCACCTAACGTTAGATAGAGTACATCTGAGGATGTGATGTTCAGAACATGGTAACTACAGTAATTATCAAAGTGGGAAGTGATGCCCTCTGGGGGCATTTGGCCAGGGGTGTTTTTACACCACAGACAAGGTTTGAGAAGAAAAAAACATTATGAAAATCTAATTATATTTTCCTTATTATATTCATTATTTCCTTATTGGTTATTTTGGGAAAATCCCAGGTATTTTGAGCAGTAGGATTATAAAAAAATATATGCTAATATAAAATTAAATGATAAAGTAGCCTATATAAAACTGCAAAATAAACATTCATCTATGGGTACTTTTTACTTAAGTACATAAAAAATCAAGTACTTTTGTACTTTCACTCGAGTAAAATTGAAAACTGAGCACTTTTACTGGAGTAATATTTTATTATACGGATCTGTACTTTTACTCAAGTACTTGATTTGTGTACTTCGTCCACCACTGGTGAACGATCAAGAGAAATACAAATCGTGACAAAATCCATAAAACACTTTCCAGCTTTTGGAATGAAGTATGTATGACTTTTGCGATGCGAAAAGGCACAATCCACTCAATCTTCATATTCGTATAGCTTTAGTTATCAACTCTCTATCTGCTTTGGTAAGCATGACTGTAATTGTTCTGCTCCTCTCTCCATAGGTTCAATCGGAGCAGAGTTAACGAGCAGCAATGTTAGCATGTTCATCACATCCGACGCTGGAAACACGTGGCGGCAGGTGACTCTGACCATGGGGGGTGTTCAGCCAGATGGGGTGGGCAGTAATTTCAGCACTGATGCATATCTTTGAGCGGATAAATCCATGTGCCGCATTTCAGAGCCTATAATCAAATGACACCTTCAGAGAAAACTAAATTCAATGACATATATGATGCCCGTGGGTGCATGTTTGATGATGCGATTTAAATTTATGGGGCCAGCTGTCTAATTAAAAATGGAGAGCTCAAATAATTAAGAGAAAATTTATGTGGCAAAAAGTTAAAGCATGCTGTGTAGGGCACGGGTTTGATGTCATATATCTTGTCCGTAAGAATTACAATCACTGGGATTTGAGAAATAGCATAATTTCAAGGACAGCAGACCTGTGGTTGCCAGCTTTCATCTAATCAAATTGAAAGCCCTCCCAAGAAGAGTAAGGATATGAAATATTGTCATAACTCATCCAACCTGACATTATGAATGAAAATAACACGGGAACATATGTAACATTGCCTTGAGACACATATGAGCAGAAGTACGTAATGTGAAGTTTTTCTTTAAATTTTGGCACTAAACCAGCGAAAGTTTTTCAGAAATACGCAGTCCTTATTTATTATAGATTTATGTAGATCAAGCACCTAGGGTCAGATGCATTTCTTGGTTATAATGACTCTAGTGTGGTTGTAGCTTGGTTGACCCAACTCTTCCAGTGTGTTCACAGCCAAAGGAAAACAAAACAGACCCCACACAGTATCCCGCTAACATAAACACTAGCCTCATAATCATTAGCCCATGAAGTACTTAAGCCAATCAGATGGTGTTTTTCCTTCACTTTAACAGACTTGCGTATGCTAAATGCTTGAAGCCCCAAGGCCTAAACTCAACAGGAATTCATATCAGCAAGAATTCACAGCACATACAGTGCAGTTATCAGAGCTCTGGGGCAAACAAATGGAAACTGCTAATGAGGGCCTCAATTTTCAGTTCAACTTTGCAGTAGGTCAACCTAGCATCTGGCTGGATTTTTCTCCGTAAGGCAATTTTCTTGTTTCATACATGTTTGCAACTACTAGCGGTTCTGTAATGGAGACTGGATGGGGCCATGCTTTTAGGCTGTTTTTTTTTTTCTTTTGAGCTCTGTATTTATATAAAATTATATGCTTGTGTGTACTCTTACAAGAAAAGTTATTGGGACAATACCTTTTTTTAAAAGGTACACTTTTGCACCATATTTATCTCTAAAGAGTGCAAACAAGTAACTTAAAGGTACATATCAGTACTTAAATTGAACATTTTAGTACCTACTGTAAATGGTGCAATTTAGTTCCTTTTTGAAAAGGTACTGTCGCAGTTTGTACCTTTTCTTTTGTGCTTTTGTACTTTTTTTTTTTTCGGAGAGTGTGGTCTAATTTATGGAAGTATTTTATTAATAGGCACAGCAGACTTATAAAATTAGCTTTTGCATTAGCTGACAAGTTGCTTAAAGTGTATTTAGATTTGTAGCTGTATTTGAAGTTTTATATTGTCAGTTTCCAAGTTTATATAATTTTATCAAACAGGATAGAATGCTTTAAAATAGGGCTGTCAAATCGATTAATCGCATCAAAATAAATGTTTGTGTTTACATAATATGTGTGAGTACTGTGTATATTTATATGTATATATAACACACACACATATATATGTGTGTGTGTGTGTGTGTATTTGATTTATATTCTATATATTATATTATACATATATTATGTATATGTAAACACAGACTTTTATTTGGCATGGGATTACTCTTGATTAATTGATTTGACAGCCCTACTTTAAAATGAGACAAACTAACTAATATCAATAATGACATTTCCATGAATTCATCAAATTGCTAATACTCACTGATGTGTGTGCTGTTGTTTTCCCTCTAAAATAATGTCTAAAATGATGGAAAGTGAAATTAAGGTTACAGGAAAAACCTATAAATTCATTACCAAATATTCCAAAGAAAACTAAATATTTTGAATATTGTATGTTTTATATTGTATGCAGTCTTTTAATACAGTACTGCATATAATGAGAATATCAAAATGAATGGAGCAGCCATATGATTAATACATTCTTTGTCTATTCCAGATATTTGATGAAGAGTACAGTGTGCTGTATCTGGATCAAGGTGGAGCTTTAGTGGCAATTAGACACACCCCTCTTCCCATCAGGCACCTCTGGTAATCCTACACCAAAATCATTACTAATATTCAATGCGTATGTTCGTAAAAGATGAGTCAATGCAATCACATCAGGCTGACTCACATAATCATGGGGAGTGTGAACATTCTCATTAAACCCAGTAGACTGTGTAATACTTTTGTCTAGTAATCTAGATTAAATGTCGGAAAGGTGCAGTAAAGTCCTGTTTGAATTATTTGCCAGCTGTATGTGGAAATGCAATCTTTTCTACACTATATCGTAGTTTCAGCTGTGCGCTGCTGGTTTCTATGCAGGTTGAGCTTTGATGAGGGGAGGGTGTGGAACAAATACAGTTTCACTTCATCGCCCCTGTTCGTGGACGGTGTCTTGGGCGAACCGGGCGAGGAAACGCTTATAATGACGTAAGTATGATGAATATTCAATAGTAATACATTTAGATTTTTTCTGGAATGAGAAAAAGGTGCTTGATGAAATACAGTTTATGTGATGAACACTGTAAACCCTGAATGTCCTCAAAGAATTGGAGTAAATTCAAAGTAATTAACTCAGTGTTGGCATTGTCACTTTTTCCGACATGATTTGTTCTGTTACTGTATGGAAGGCCGTTTCCGCCACTGAATAAAAACATTTTTAAAAATGTAATTTTTATCTTGCAGTTCTGACTTTTTTCACAAGTGTGAGAAAAAAAAGATTCATATTTTCTCTGAATTGCGAGTTTATATCTCACAATTTTGACTTAATAAATCGCAGTGTGGGTTATAAAGTCAGAATGGCAAAATATAAACTGGCAGTTCTGAGATAAAAAGTCACAAGTGCGATATAAACACAATTCTGAGAAAAAAAGTCGCAATAGAGAGATAAACTCAAAGTTGTGAGAAATAAAGTCAGAATTGGGAGATAAACTTGCAATTCTGACTTTTTTTCACAGAATTTCGTCCATCTATTTTCGTCTAGAATTTTATATCTTGCAGTTCTGACTTTATAACCAACACTTGTGAATTTATATCACACATTTCTGAAAAAAAGTCAGAATTGTGTGTTTATATCTTACAATTCTGACTTTATAACCCACAATTGCAAGTTTATATCATGCAGTTCTCAGAAAAAAAAGTCAGAATTGTGAGATAAAAAGTTGCAATCACCTTTTGTTTTATTTTTTATTCAGTGGCAGAAATGGGCTTCCATGGTTATTTCACCCTGAAGAAGGACTGAATAGCTTTGTTAGACATACATAGTAACATAAAAATAGTACTACCATTTTATCTAGCTAGAAAATAATATATAGAAAGAGAATATATACACTAACTGACCGCTTTATTAGGTACACCTTCCTAGTCCCGGATTGGTCCCGCCTTTGCCTTCAGAACTACCTTCATTCTTTGTTGCATAGCAGCCAGCAAGGTGCTGGAAACAATCTTTAGAGATTTTGGTCCATATTGACATCATAGCATCGCACAGTTGCTTCAGATTTACTGGGTGCAAATCCATGACACAAATCTCCCGTTCCACCACATCCCAAAGGTCCTCTATTGGATTGAGATCTGGAGGTCATTTGAATGTAGTGAACTCATTGTCATGTTCAAGAAGCCAGTTTGAGATACTTTGAGCTTTATTATATGGTGCATTATCCTGCTGGAAGTAGCTATTACAAGATCAAACACTGTGGTCATAAAGCGATGGACATGGTCAGCAACAATTCTGGCGTTTAAACAATGCTCAATCTAAGTGTGCCAAAAATAAAAAATTAAAAAATCCTCACACCAGCAGCAGCAGCCTGAACGTTAATACAAAACAGGATGGATTCATGCTTTCATGTTGTTTACTCCAAATTCTGACCCTAACATCCGAATGTCGCAGCAGAAATTGAGACCAGACCAAGCAACCTTTTTACAATCTTCTGTTGGTGAGCTTCTGTGAATTATAGCCTCAGTTTCCTGTTCTTAGCTGACAGGATTGACGCCTGGTGTGGTCTTCTGCTGCTGTAGCCCATCTGCTTCAAGGTTTGATGTGTTGTGCATTCAGAGATGCTCTGCTGCATACCTCAGTTGTAACATGTGGTTCTTTGAGTTACTGTTTCTTTTCAGCTCAAACCAGTCTGGCCATCTCCTCTGACATCAACAAGGCACTTTCACCCACAGAACTGCTGCTCACTAGATATTTGTTCTTTTTCTGTCCATTCTCTGTGAACCCTATATGGTTGTGCGTGAAAATCACAGTAGATCAGAAGCTTCTGAAAGACTAGCACATCTGGGACTAGCAACCATGCCACGTTCAAAGTCACTTAAATAGCCTTTCTTTCCCATTCTGATGTTAGGTTTGAACTTCAGTAGAACATCTTGACCATGTCTACATGCCTAAATGCATTGAATTGCTGCTATGTGATTAACTGATTAGATATTTGTATTAACAAGCAGTTGAACAGGTATACCGGCTAGTAAGCAGTGTTGGGGTAACACATTACAAGTTGCATAATCAGATTTTTTTTTTTCAAGTAACTACTAAAGTAATGTATTACTTTTTAATTTACAAGTTATCTTTTCAAATAAGTAACAGTTACTTTGTTTTTCCCATTTATTGACTGACAGCTCTCCTGTACCCATGTTGAGAGAAATCAGGAGTAAGTGCAGAGATGTTGTGTGTGCCGTGTAAACATGATGGTTACTAGTTCTACACTAATTGTTATCATGCATTTACTCATCTCACTTACATAAAAACAGATTCATTGTTCCTCAAAATGAATAAAAACAGGGAATTGCAAACAAAAAATATGATGCAAACCTTCAATAATTACATATGTTAAATAATACAAATAGGCTTTATGTATTCAATCCCGTTTTATTAACTAGTGTCTTTGCTGCTGACATTCAATGATCCAATTCAATCAAGCAAAAAAAATACTTTAAATAAACAACTTTATTTAAAATATTTTTATTGTTTTTTCATGCAATCTAGAATGTTTGAAAGCCTGAGGCTCATGTCACTTTTGGTGTGAAAGGGCTTTTACATTTGCACATTTTTATATATATATATATATAAGTAATTAAGTAACGTGATTAGTTATTTTTTTTAGGTAGTAACACAATATTATAATGCCTTACTTTATAAAAGTATAACTTTCCCCAACACTGCTGGTAAGATTAAGATGTCTGTTTTTATGAAACAAATTAAAATAGCAAATTAATATTAAATATATGTATATTAATTTATACTTTATAATACAATTATATTTTGTAACTAAACTTTTTATAAATTTGTATACTTTATTGTAAACAATTGTGAGTTTGTATTTCATAATTGCAACTTTATATATTGTACTTATAACTTTAAATTTCTACTTTATTTCTCATAATTGTGACTTTATGTTACAGTGTGAGCTCTGTCACAATTACAGGTTTTACTTTCATATAAATAAATGGTAATTGTGAAAAATATGTAAGAATAAAATGCTCAGTGCTTTGCTTGATTTGCTTGGTGATAAAAATAAAGCAATTAATGATAAAGCAAGTGGTTTATTTTTAGACCTTCCAGTAATGACTCACCTATTTGAAAAGGCAAATCATTAAAACCATCATGCCAGTTCTGATTTTACATTATCCTGAATCCAGCACAACCTAAAATTATTTTGAGAAGTATTTCATGAAATGTTCCTTTATAGGATATTCCTAGATACTTTCTGCTGTCTTTCTGACAGGCCCTAAAAGTGTCACACTGTCAGACTTTCTCAATGTGAGTTTCAGACTTTTTGTTGACAGTTTGACGCAGGTTTCCACTGATGTGGTTTGACTTGGATAAGCATTTCCTCTTCCTGTCCGCTCTACATCTTTCTAATCATTAGAGTCACTGCGCTCTCGATATGCCACTGCTCGCCAGACATACAGCGGCTGATGTTGTGCCTTTGTTTGCAGGATCTTCGGTCATGTCAGTCACCGCTCAGAATGGCAGCTGGTAAAGATAGACTTCAGGTCTATCTTTAACAGAAGATGCATTGAGTCTGACTATGTGCCGTGGGATTTACATGACCAGGTGAGAAATTATTTTAGCATTTGGGTCCCCAATCTGAATATTTGCCTAAATCCTTGTTTCACACAGTGTTGTATATTGATCTCTTTAAGGAGGAAAGAAAATGCGGAAACAAACAAACAAACAAATAAATAAAGGATGAATATATGATATAACAAATATAAAAACATCAAATTTTCACAAACTTTCCAATATTACTGGTATAAATTAAAATGTCTTAAATTTCTTTTTAAATAAAATAATATTCCATTAAATTAGACATAGTATCATATAAATGATCGTTTTAGTTAAACAAGTTAAACTAAGTGAGAATGAAATATTGCCTTGACAATTAGCTAAAATAAATAAATGTTTTTGCTGTTGTTATTTTTATTTGTAAAATAATATAATATTGCTTCAGTTATTTTTTTTTTACTTGAAGCAATACACACACACATACACATGTTTGATAGAATAAAAAAAATATATATATAACCCAATTAATAAAGGTCAAAAAATTACTTTTCATATTGAATTTATATAATCTTATGTTTTAAGATTGCAAACTGTAATCTGAGTCTCTGTCGCCAACAACAAACAAGTTCCCTATCTGTCGGCCACTTCGAGTTATGTCGTGATGACATTAGGGGATTCACTTGGGAGCCCCAATCATCTCTGATTTTAAGAGAAAACGCCAATGAAATTTGGCAAGTAGATTTTGCATACCTGCGCCACTCCCCGTGCGTACGGGTATAAATAGGCGACAGGTCCATCCACTCATTCAGATTTTTGCTTCTGAGCCGAGTGGATGAATGTGCTTGATCTCCACAAAGCCCATTTCATCATCTGACTGGAATCTGTTCTGGTTGGCGTCATGGTGCGAACAGTGGTGTCCCTGTCTACAGCCCCCTGGGCACTTCAACTGAAAGAGCAAATTTCCTAAAAGAGCAAATCACGGACGGCTTGCTTCTTTTTGTTGTGGTCGTTACCTGTCTTCTGAGGATGGAAGCCGTTCCGTCCGTGTCCTCTTGGTTGTGGTCGTAACCTGTCTTCTGAGGACGGACACAATCGTTGTCTTCAGTGTCTGGGCATCCAACACGCTGAAGCTGCATTCGTGGATGACTCGTGCGCCTGTTGTGGGTGAATGAGCATGGCATCGTTGCGATCTCCCCTCTGCCGCTACCTGTCCCGGTCTCTCTGGCTCGAGTAGAGGACCGTCGACTGGCACTCTGGGAGATCTGAGGGTCACAGTAAGAGCTTCTCTGCCGGGCGAGCCCCCGCGGACCTCTTACTCCTCACGCAGCGTCTGTCCCGTTTGGCTCCCGAGTGATTTCGATGGACTGCTTTGCGGAACTGCCAGCATTTCATTCGGTGCACCCCCGGAAGATCAGATGTCGATCGCAGCATCGGGGATGGGCTTATCGTCCTCCGAAGATGAAGATTCGGTGGGGCTGCGCCCCTTGGGTGTTGTGGCCGCCACCAAATCGGACCTGGAGCTGATGGCCATGCTTGCCCGGGCAGCCATGATCATCGGGCTGGAGGTCAACAGACCGCCCAGTCCCGAGCCCTCACGGCTGGATGATTGGTTTCTTGGGGCTCACAACTGCGATCTGCTCTGGTGCCTTTTTTCCCAGAGGTGCATGAGGAGCTGACGAAGTCGTGGACGGCCCCTTTTACAGCCAGAAGCCGCTCGTCTCCCTCCTCCGTCCTCACTACCCTGGTGAGGTGGAGAGAGCGATTGCGGTGCACCTGTGCCCACAAAACGCCACCACTTGGAGGAATCGTCTGCGTCTCCCGTCCAAAGCCTGTAAGCTTACGGCTGCTCTCGCGGCCGAAGCTTGCGGTCCTGCGGGCCAGGCCGACTCTGCCCTGCATGCCATGGCTATCCTGCAAGTTCACCAAGTCAAGGCACTGAAACAAATGCACGAGGGTGGCACCGACCCGAGGTTGATTCAGGAGCTGCGCTCGACAACTGACTTCGCCCTCCGGGCGACGAAAGTCACGGCGCAGTCCCTCGGGAAGGTGATGTCCACTCCAAGTCCAAGAGAGCCATCTCTGGCTCAACCTGGCAGAGATGAAAGACATCGACAAAGCATGCTTTCTTCCAGGCTGGGCTGTTTGGCGACACTGTCGAGGGCTTTGCCCAGCAGTTCTCGGCAGTGCAGAAGCAGACCGAGGCCATCCAGCGCATCTTGCCCCGGTGGGATGCACCACCAGCCACCGCTGCCCCGCGGGCCAGGCCTCAGTCTGCTTGTTGCCATGGGCGCCCTCCTGCGTCCTCCAGAGCTGCTCCGCCCCATACTGAATCAACACCTAGACTGGCGCGTTGAGTATGACAGCGCGTCTCACCAACGAGCGCACCCAGTCAGTGCTGGACTGCCTGAGTTCATTCAGAGGCAGGATGGTGGTTCCGCTGAAACTATTTCAGAGGCTCCTGGGACATATGGCATCCGCAGCCGCAGTCACGCTGCTCGGGTTGCTTCATATGAGACCGCTTCAGCACTGGTTACACTCCCGAGTCCCGAGATGGGCATGGCTCGACATATTGTTGTCACGACAGATGCCTCCAGTTTGGGCTGGGGCGCTACATGCAACGGGCAGGCAGCCTCGGGGCTCTGGACAGGGCCTCGACTGCTTTGTCACATCAACTGCCTAGAGCTGTTGGCAGTGCATCTTGCCTTACGGCAGTTCTGGCCACTGCTTCAAGACAAGCACATGTTGGTCCGCACGGACAACACTGCGGCTGTCTCTTACATCAACCAGCAGGGAGGTCTATGATCACATCGCATGTCATAGCTCGCCCGCCATCTCCTCCTCTGGAGTCAGACACGGCTCAAGTCGCTGCGCGCTGTCCACATCCCAGGGGAGCTTGCCCGGGTCTCCGGTCAGCCCCTGTACTGGGCTAGGTGTCCATATGGCTTGATTGTAACCAAGTTCAATCGTGCACTATCACGACAGCTCACGTTCCCCAGAGAATGGCGACTCCATCCTGCGACGATCTGGCTGATCTGGAGTCAATTCGGGGAAGCCCAGGTAGACCTGTTTGTTCCCATGTGTCCTCCCACTGCCAGCTGTTTTACTCCCTGACCGAGGCCCCCCTCTGCACGGACGCGCTGGCATACAGCTGGCCTCGGGCTCTACGCAAGTACGCGTTTCCCCCAGTGAGCCTCCTCGCACAGACACTGTGCAAGGTCAGGGAGGATGAGGAAAAGGTCCTGCTGGTTGCGCCGTACTGGCCAACCCGGACCTGGTTTCCGGAACTCATGCTCCTCGCGACAGCCCTTTCCTGGTGCATTCCTCTGATGAAGGACCTCCTTTCTCAGGGGCTCGGCACCATGTGGCACCCGCGTTCAGATCTGTGGAACCTCCATGTGTGGCTCCTGGACGGGACGAGGCGGACTTGAGTGATCACTCGGACACCATCACTCAGGCTAGAGCTCCCTCTACGAGGCAAGCCTATGCACTGAAGTAGAGTCTGTTTGCAAACTGGTGTTATTCTCGCCGAGAAGACCCCCGATGATGCACGATTGGAGTAGTGCTTTCTTTCCTGCAAGAGAGGTTGGAGCGTAGGCTGTCACCATCCACCTTGAAAGTGTATGTGGCTGCTATTGCAGCACATCACGATGCAGTGGACAGCCAGTTCCTGGGAAAGCATGATCTCATTATCAGGTTCCTGAGGGGTGCCAGAAGGTTAAATCCTCCTAGGCCATCCCTGATGCCCTCCTGGGATTTCTCTACCATCCTGGCTGGCCTTCAGAGGTATCCCTTTGAGCCGCTGGATTCAGTTGAGCTTAAATTCCTGTCTGCTAAGACAGCGCTCCTGACTGCGCTCACATCCATCAAGAGGGTGGGGGACCTCCAACCATTTTCAGTGAGCGAAGAGGGCCTTGTGTTCGGGCCGGCCTACTCTCAAGTCGTCCTGAGACCCCAGCCTGGATACGTGCCCAAGGTTCCCACCACGCCGATCAGGTGTCAGGTTGTGAAGCTGCAAGCTTGGAGGAGGCA